GTAAGACAATAACTTATAGGTATTTCTTCTCCTTAAGTTATGTGTAAATTTAATGTGAGACCATTAAGAATACCAACAGAAATTTTGGGGACCTGGTCAAGTTAATTCTAAAGCAAATAGGGAAAAAATAAACATGTTAAGTGTAAGTTTTAAAAAAGAAAGTAAAAATAGAGTAATAAAGAGGTATCTAGCCCCTTCAGATTTTAAAACACATCATCAAGCTACAATAATAAAAAGTGAAATACTAGAATATGAAAAGGCTGTCAGATCAAAAGAACAGACCAGAAAGTCCAAAATTGGTACAAACACACAAGAAATGTGGTATATGATACAGATGGCTTTTAAATTAGCAGGAAAGAGATGGGTTATTTAATAAATGAAGCTGAAGGAACTAGTGAGATACCTGAACAAATAGATCCCTGAATAAATAAAGCTGGATCCCTATCTGTAACCCCACTCTAAAATAAATACGAGGTAGATAAAAAGCTTAGACATAGAAAATGAAAGCAGTAGGTAAACATGGAAATTTTTTTTTTGCTGTATGACATAAACCCAGGTCTTAAAATAAAATACATAAATTTGACAACAAAAAATTTCGACATAGAAACAAAAACAGCAACAAATTTGAACAAATTGAACAAAAATATTTAAAACACATAATTCAAAGAGCCAGTTTTCCTCATTTACAAAGAGTCCCTAAATGAAATTTTAAAATTCCCAACAACGCAACAGAAATCATGCAAAGGCTAAAACGTTCACAGATAAATACAAATGGCTCATAAATTTATAGAAAGATGTTCACCCATAATAAGAAATTTAAATTAAAACTATGAGGTGTCATTTCACCTATCAGATTGGCAAAGTACAGAAAGTTGGGTAACACCCTGTGTTGTGGGGTATGAGGAAACTGGTGTTTTCATACATTGCTGGTAGGAATGTAAATGAGAATCACTACTATCCAGGGCAACATCTGTCAACATTTTCAGTCAAATATCCTTTTGTCAGCAAATCTAAGAAATTATCTCAGAGAAATATTCACATATGTGGAAATGATGTATGTGCAACGATATTCATTGTATATTGTTTGCAACAACAAAAGATTAGAAATGATCTAAATATACATTAATGGAGACTGGTTGAGTTATAATCTATCCATACAATGGTACACTCTGTAGCTGTGAAAAAGGAGGAAGCAGCTCTATCTGTGCTGACATAATATTGTTTGTGCTGACTAGGAAATATTGTTTGCTCAAAAAGCAAGAGGCACCCAATATTCCTTTCCAAATTGCCTCTCATCAATTCCTTTTATTTGTTCCTTAACATCTAAGTCCTCAGAGTGCATGCAAGCATGTTATTCTCCTTCATGATTATCACCTTTCTCCCAGGTGTTTTTTTCTGACCACAATGCTACTTTTTTGCCCACACCTTCTTTTTTGGGAAAGTACCTAGTACTCCTTTAAACTCAGCGCAGTGTCACTGCCTCCAGGAAGCCTTTCTTGACCTGTAATTTAAGATCTTTTTTTGATGCTGTGGTCCTCATTCAGACGACATACTCTCTGTGTGGCTTACCATACTACACTATAACTGTCTGGTTACTGGCTACCTCCCCCATTTGACTGTGAGCTCCTTGAGAAATGGAACCTTGTCTACTTTATGTCTATAGAAGTCAAGCCCAGCACCAGGATTGGCAAAGTTTAGATGCTCTGTAAGTGGATAGATGGATGAATGATACAGAGAATCTACTCCCCACCATAGCATGGGTGATCTTTTAGAAATGAAAACTGGGGGCTGGGTACAGTGGCTCACGCCTGTAATCCCAGCACTTTGAGAAGCCGAGGCGGGCAGATCACCTGGGATCAGGAGTTGAGACCAGCCTGGCCAACATATAGTGAAACCTCATCTCTACTAAAAATATAAAAATTAGCTGGGTGTGGTGGTGCATGCCTGTAGTCCCAGCTACTTGGGAAGCTGAGGCAGGAGAATTGTTTCAACCTGGGAGGTGGGGATCATGCCACTGCACTCCAGCCTGGGTGACAGAGTGAAACTCCGTTTCTCAAAAATTAAAAAAAAAAATTGGATCCTGTCACTCCCTTACATAAAAACTTCAAATGCACATAAAACTCAGACTCCTTAAAGAGAAAAAAGCAAGGGACAGAATAGTGTGTTTGGAATGGTGTCATTTGCAGGCTTGAGAGAGAAGGAACAAACATGGCAGGGTGGAGGGAGATGTTCTTACTATACATGCCATGTACCCATTACCTCTTGACTTCTAAAATACATGCATAGAAGTGTAACAATGTTTTATTCTTTTCTGTATTTCCAGAATGTTCTAAAATGAGCATGTACTTCTTGTAGTAATTTAAAGAGAACCTCAAAAATAAAGGACCTTTAATTTCCATATAGTCTTTGGAGTTAGCTCCTCATTGTTTCAAAGCGATGTTTCTTCTTCTCTCATTCTGGTGTTCCAAATGAACAGTCTGAAAATGGCCAACCTCACTGCTCCCTTTAAAAATGCACACCAATTTTCTTTGTTTGGATTTAATAATCACTAAACTTTCTTCCTATTTTAACATTTATGGTTTATGTCAGCGGCTCTTAGACTGTGCCAGAGATCACACCAGGGAGGCTGTTAAAATGCAGATTCTCAGGAGTCTACCCCCAAACATTCTGAGTCAGTGGGGGCCCTAGAATCTGCACTTTAACATTACCACAGGAGACTCCTATGCAGGTAGGTGATCTATAGACTATACTTTTCAAAATATTCATCCATGACTCGTTAAGGAAAGAGTATTTTTCACATAGAAGTGAAAATCCTATATATATAGAATTTAGGACTGAAAGTGATCTCTCCCTTGAACACACACACACACACACACACACACACACACACACACACACTACTTACACCTTTATAAACATTCACATTGTCCTACACTTTACAGTTTTGTGTACACTCGTCTTCTTTCAGCTTTTTGAGACTGGGATCCAAGTCTTTATGTAGCCCAGTGCTCCAAAGTTGTGAAATAAAAGTATGTGTAATAGAAACCAAAGCATATGGTTCAAATGTTACTTTCTTTGGCTTAGGGAGTTGGTTCTCTGCCAGCTATGTAAATTCTTTGTCATTCCATCTCCCCTTCCCGCAAAGCTCAGATGTGTGCGACAACTGTTAACACTGCCTGCTAAGTCTAGAGAGGGGCTGCTGTTTTATTTTAAAGACATACACAAATCACTTCTCTATGCCTTTCCCAGGACCTCTGATGAGCCCTTTCCTCTGTGAATTTTAAACTGAAAGGAATACCTGAAAAAGCCGCACAAGTGGTTTTGATAAACATCCCGGAGCGTCTTCTACGTTACATAAATTTTCAAGTGTGATGTGAAGGGACCCATGAGGTATGGTGGCAGCTCTATGTCACCCCCTCATGGCAACATGCTCCATGGCATCCCAAGCCTACCCCTGCATCCCCAGGCTCTTAGGGATACTCATCCTGTGCCAGAGCTCATGTGTGTGTGTCCCCAGCAGCGCCAAATCCAGAGCATCTACAAATATTTGCTGGTATGAGTGGCAGGAACTAAAAACACATAGCTCGAATTTTGATGTCTTCTGCTCAACTGAAGGTCACTGGTTCTTTCAATTGTGTAACTTTCTAAGATTTTGCAGTACAGAGCTTTTTGATTGATGCACAGATCAGCCAAAAGGCAAATGTGTAAGACTGCCTGTTCTCAAAGTGTAACTCTAAGAGCATAAAATACACATGTCTAAGTCATCACTGGCAAAGCTCCAAAGCTTTTGAGAAAGGTCATTACACACATCAACAGGGCCATTCACCCCCACCCAAACCTGAAAAACTTAGATTGGTTCAGGGCCAGCATGAAAGTGATTGAGTCCCAGAGGTACAGCTCAATGACTTGGCCTAAAGAACAGAGAGAAAAAGAGAACTGAGTAAGTTTACCAGTCTGAAGGATGCTCACATAGGCCTCCAGGGACTCTACATCCACTGAGATTAGGAGACAAAATAACCCCAGATGGTGGGGATGGGGGTGGCAAAAGTTATTTCAGTAACATAAAGAACTTCCTAGAAAGTACCTGGAATCTTCTTCTTTAGGGGTTCACTAGAAACAAATTATCTTCAGTTGGGAATAAATGATGGCCCTGCCCAAGGTTGGGGATGAAGAACAAACTTGATGGCATTTTGGGGTGTAGAGTCTCATTTAACCATCCCTATCACTAGGCAAGATGGGATAACGTGCATAAAAGCAAAAACCAAGTTACTTGTTAGACTTGGACAGAAATCACCTCACTCACATATAAAGCTATCACAGGGACTGCATCTACCCCTGGGATTTCAAGTTCCCTGATGACAGCAGCCTTTAATGGAAGCTGCATGCTGGGTTAATGGTCAGGCTGTGAGTGGAAATTCTGAGATCAATAGACCTAAGTTCAGGAAATCAAGGCTGCACCTAAAGCCTTATGGTCTGATGAGAGCAGCAAATACTTGTTCTTTCTTCTTCTCCCTGTCAAGCCTTTAATTGATTCACACCCTATTTTTCCTAGAAGTTAATGCCATCATTACATGCAAACTTCAGGAAGAGGTAAGGAGAAGGGACAAATTGTTCATAGAAAATCCCATGAAAGATGGGCTTGAGGCAATCTAGACTCCACCTCATAAACAGCTGCATTTCGAAAATCACTACTGAGGTCCACCCACAGGTCAAGACTCCTGCGTGCTTAAGTCTTTATCCTACTGGGGTCACTAATTGGATCAAACCTCTCTAATTCAGAGTTACGGGTATTTTATTTCAGGAGAAAGCTTGAATTTTATGTTTTAAAAATACAAATTAGTTCTTTCCTACAGCAATGCTTACTGCCCTGAGCACTGCAGTAAAACTTAGATTAGGGAATTAATCCCTTGTATTGGGCTTTTATGAAATGGAAAAGCCCAAAGAAAGTACCAATGAAATTAAGAAAGCCTTAAGAAAATAAATCAGAAAACAAAATTCTGTCTTAAATACAATCTGAACTTCATGTTTAATAGGGATTCATCTGTTTCCCATACTCTCTACATGTCCAGTTCAAACAGAAATCGTGGAAGAAAAGACTTTTCTGTGAGCTAGAATGGACCTTGTGCTTGACTGGATGGCTCTGAGGGATAGCCAAACTCCCAATGGGAAAAGTGCCATGAGGAAGAGCAACACTTACCAGAAGAATTTTCAACAAGGGCTGAAATACAACAAGGTTAGCTACAAAATGGAATTAAAGAGAACAGCTCCAACCCATTGGGAGTTTGCTTAATTTTAATGAACCCAAACTCTAACACTGTACTGGAAGAGGAAGGAACATTACAATCAAGCCTGATTATCACTATTTACATAATTTCTCACCAGAGGCCCACAGGTGAAAAGGCTGCTTACTCTAACGCCCTTAGAACCCTATTGTGAACTTCGCATGCGAGGGATCTAGGCTGTGTGCTCCTGATGAGACTCTAATGCCTGATGATCTGTGGTGGAACAGTTTCATTCCAACACCACCTCCATCACCACCCCATCTATGGAAAACCTGTCTTCCAGAAAACTGGTACCTGGTGCCAAAAAGGTTGTGGACTGCTGCCTTAGAATGTACGAAACAACTCGAGCAGCCAACAGGTCTGGACTTACACTTCCAGCTCTCCCCTTTGTACACACTCAATACTTCTTGCTGAACTGGTCGTTAACAACCACTTGTGAAATCTCCAATACCGACTTGTGAAACCCCTCCCCTCCCCACACCTGCACTTAGGCGTTTGTCTTTTCCTACCTTCCTTTACTCAGTGGTGGCAGAATAATAGGAGAGTGAAAGACAGTGATGGGCAATGAAGGGGGACCTATTTCTGAAGAGGAGATGTTTTAAAGATATTTTATTTGTCAATACCAGTAATGACAGAAAATGAAAGAATTAAAGCAGGAAGCAAAACAAAAACACAAAACTTGCAACCTAAACCTTCTGGGAAAAAAAATTGTTATAAACATTAAAAGACTTAAAGAGAACATTTACTATGAAGCCCTGATGTACCTAATCATTCCTTCAAATGGCTGGATGTTTTAAGTTGAGAATCTCCCCAGTGCTTTTCTAGTGTTCTAAAGCCATCTCCAAAACAGATGAGAAATTGAGAGAAACAGGACTCCTTTCTTGAGTACATAATTTTTATAAATTGCATCAGAATGTATTTTAGAGAGTTTCACCAAAACTAAGGAGAAATTTAAAGATCAAATAGCAGCAAAAGATCAGGGAAAGCACGTAGAACTATGCAGTCACAGAGCTAACCCGCAAGCTGCCCTTAGTCCTATAACCAGAAATCAAATCCACAGCCAGTGGTGAAGATGATCACGTCTGAGGTTAGCTGCATGATGGCACAGCTGGGTCCTATCTCCCCACTATGGGTCTCAACTGTAACTCGCGCTCCAACTGCTCTGCGGTGAGGGTGCCCTGGATGGCTTCGCAGCCCGGGTTGAACACAGAGTAGGCACTCTTCTCTCCCTCCTTCTTCTCTTCAGGGCCTCGCATCCCGACGTACATCCAATAGAACAAGGATAGGACAAAATATGCCAGGCCAAATTCCAGTTCCACAAACAGTCCCAGCAGGACCAACCAGAGAAGAACCTTCAAGAAGGTGATATTTGTCAGGAAAGACTGGTCCCAGCATGACGGCAGAGGAATGACTGTGTTCTGCGGTGGCTGTGATGTGCTGCCCTGGGGCTGAGCCGCTTCCTAGGATACACAAACAAACAAAAGTAAGAATAAAGGGTAATGGAGCTGAGATGATCAAAACTAATCTGAAGAGGCAGTTCTCATTGCTCTGAGAAGGCTGTTGGCTCACTGATTTCTATTCTCTTCCCCTATTCTCTAAAACAATCATTTCCAAAGAGCCTATGTGCTCTGCTCCAACTGAATCAAACCTGATCAGCACTTAGTGAGATGTGACCTAACAAAAGCCCTACAGCACTCAGACAGATTCTTATCCATGGGAGTCATTTCTTCAGATTAGTCTGCTGCTAACAAGAGCTAAATTGTGCCCCATACAGGAACTCCTTAATAACTGATAATGCAACAGTCATGACAGATGCTTCAAATAGTCAGAGTCAACACACTTTTGCTGATTTGATTAGATGACCTAAAATATTATGAGTGACATGATTCTAAAATAGAGACAGGAAACAAAAATCCTTTTCACATTAAAAAAAAAAAAATCAGCAGGGCGCACACCTGTAATCCTAGCACTTTGGGAGGCTGAGGCAGGCAGATCACTTGCACTGAGGAGTTTGAGACCAGCCTGGCCAGCATGGTTAAACCCCATTTCTCCTAAAAATCAAAAATTAGCCAGCATGATGGCACATGCCTGTAATCCCAGCTACTCAGGAGGCAGAGGCATGAGAATTGCACAAACCTGGGAGGCGGAGGCTGCAGTAAGCCGAGATTGCACCATCACACGGCAACAGAACATGATTCTGTCTCAAAAACAAACCAACCAAACCAACCAACCAACCAGACATCACTGTCATTACTGGGCCCTCTTTCCTTCCCATCCCCTGTGACCAACCTACATAGGTCACTGTCACTCACGCAAGGCCCAGTCAACGTCTTCTAACTAGATTGCCTGCCTCTTACCTCTTTCCTGAACCCAGCCATCCTATGTACAACTGCTACATAAATTTTCTTAAAGACCCATTACCCTCCTGCCCACAAACCTTCAAAAACTTCCACTGCCTACAGGATAAAATCCAAATTCCTCGGGCTGGAACCCAATGCCCTCCATTTGTTCAACAGACTGAAATGCTAGTACACAGGCTTCTGTGCCAAATGCCAATGGCCGACACAGATATTTAGATAGCTTTAAGCAGTGTCCAGTCCACTGTTTTCTGAACTCTTTTGAGCATGACCCACAATAAGGAATACATTTTAGACTGCAACCCAGAATACATATACGTAACAAAGTTTCACAAGTCAACACTTACCCTCCCTGAGAAGCTCTCTTGTATTTCCTATTCTATTTTTAAAACATTTTAAATAGGGCACAAAATCTTCTATATTAATTTCACTATCCACTAGTGGGTCACAGTGGTCCGGAAAATTCCATGACAACACAATCCACAATCTTTTGTTCCATAAATGACCCTTCTACTCCAGTGTAACTGGTCTTATTATCCAAAGATATTCTCAGTCCCCATCTCAGGCCTTCCTCTTTCTTTCTCAACTCCTTGCCTTCCTTCCAGACAAGCACAGTTCATGAACTGTCGGCCCTTATCTCTCTGGACATCAGGGAGGGTGCCCCCTCTGCCTTTCAAAGCACCAGCTGCCTCTCCTGTCCATTGAGCACCAAACTCTTCAGCACTAGTCTCTCTTAATATAGGTCATGTCATGTGTGACGCCAGACTGTTTAAGTACCAGGAGACCACGTGTCTCTAGATCAGAACACGGCATCCCACACTTAGGTTCTCAATACATAGCAGAAATTTTAGTCCAACTCTTCAGTTACACCCCCTATTCTTCTTCGCATGAACATTTAAACGAGGATCACAAACATTGGTCATGTGATTTACGATGCTTCAGAAGTTCTATTTTGTCAGAACCTTCTCTTTTGGCATCTATATTGTAATTATTATCTTTGCAGGTAGATTAGGACGTCTGATTGGAGAGGTCCTTATATTATCAGCCACTTCCCTGACCGCTGACATCATTAAAGAAAGAAATGTCTGGCCAGGCGCGATGGCTCACACCTGAAATCCCAGCACTTTGGGAGGCTGAGGTGGGTGGATCACGAGATCAAGAGATCGAGACCATCCTGGTCAACATGGTGAAACCCCGTCTCTATTAAAAATACAAAAAATTAGCTGGGCATGGTGGCGTGTGCCTGTAATCCCAGCTACTCAGGAGGCTGAGGCAGGAGAATTGCCTGAACCCAGGAGGTGGAGGTTACAGTGAGCCGAGATCGCGCCATTGCACTCCAGCCTGGGTAACAAGAGCGAAACTCCGTCTCAAAAAAAAAAAAAAAAAAAAAAGAAATGTCTGTTTCAGATTTGACATGCAAGCACAGTACTTCTTGCCCAAGAATGCATCTGGTCAGTGTCCTGGGCAAGGGGAAAGAGTAGTATGAGATGACAGGGCTAAGGAGGGAGGTCAGGGGGGTGGGAGTCACATCAAGTAGAGCCAGGCAGGCTGCAGTGAAGATTCTGGAAATGGAAACAGCTGAAGGTCTAAGCAGGGAACTAACAATCCACCTTTCATTTAAGACTACTCTGGCTGTCATCTGGAGCAGGGGTCCCCAACCCCTGGACCCGTAAGGGTTCGTGGCCTGTTAGGAACAAGGCTGCACAGCAGGAAGTGAGTGGCAGGTGAGCAAGCATTACCGCCTGAGTTCCACTTCCTGTCAGATCAGTGGTGGCATTAGATTCTCATAGGACCATGAACCCCATTGTGAACTGCGCATGCGCAGCAGGATCTAGGGTTCCCACTCCTTATGAGAATCTAACTCATGATGACAATCTAAGGTGGAAGAGTTTTGTCCTGAAACCATCTCTCCCCAGCCCTCGGTAGAAAAATTGTCTTCCATGAAATCCCTGGTGTCAAAAAGGCTGGGGAGGAGAGCTAGCAAGAGAGAGCCAGACATTGACCAGGGTGGTGACAGCAATCAGATGGAAATAATGGACTGATGAACACAGAATACATTTTGAATATACATGTTGAAATTAACAATAAACTAAATTTATTATTTAGGGAGTAAAAAAGAAGAATGCTCCTATGCCACCATTTACTGAGAGCCTTCAAATGTATGAACCCTTGTAATCCAGAAGGCAGGCATTATTATTCCCAACTTACTGATAAGAAAACACTGAGAGGTTAAGTAATTTCCCTAAAGTCATATTATTAATGATAGGCAGAGATTAGGTCAGTCTGGGATCTTAGGATGGTCTCCTCCAAAACCCATTTTATTTAATTAGCGGTCTTTATGGGGGATGGCAGGAGAAGGGTTAGGGAGCTAGAGGGAATGGGGTGGGGGTGGGGGGTAGTCAACCAACTGACAAAGGGAGCAAATAAGAAAGAGGAGAGTCACAGACATTCCTCTGCCTCATCTGGAATTTGTCTGAGTACCAGTTCCCTTCTGCTGTAAAAGCTAGTAAAGAAGTGTTTGTGACTGTTACATCACACATAGGCATGGTCCAAGGAAGGAACTACCATTCCTCAAATATCAAGCTGCTTCCCACCTCAGGGCCTCTGCACTTGTGAGTCCCTCTGAGAGGAATGCTCCCTTCCCCTCATATCACCGGGTTGGCCCCCTCACTACAAACAGCAAAAATGCCACCACATGTACCCTTTCCTTTGTCTGTTTTTGCCAGGGTGGCTTCTTCTTAACTGTCTCCTTCTTAGTGAGTTCTCCTTGTTCAGCTGATTTAAAATAGTACTCTCCTCTCTTCACCCCTAATTTACTATCACAATCTACTGGTCTTATCTTTTTTCTTTCATAGCATTTATCTGGTTTTATTGTCCTCCCTTCCCTGCTGCCCCAAGCTCAAATGCAAGTTGTACAAGAGTAGGACTTGCCTATCTTAATCACACTTGTCTCCCAGGGTTTAGGACAAAAGCTGGAACACAGTGGACGCATGACAAGCTTTTTGTTGAATGAATGAACGACAGTGAGAGAAAGGGAGAAATTCAAGATGATTATTAGATTTTGGGGGGTGAGGCAAAGCTATGCTTAGCGAGGCAACTATAAAGGAAAGCCTTTGAGCAGAAGGCCTGCCTGAGCCAAGGCCTAGAGGTCAGGAGTGGCAGATGAGTATGGGGAATGGGCCCTCCGGTGGGGTGGTATGCTGGGGGCTTGCCTGAGATATGGCTGGAGAGGGAAGCAGAAAGCTTCTGTAGGAATTTTTTTTTCAGTTACCAGCATTTTTGTCCTAATGTGGTAGAGGCTTGTCACAAAATTATTTTGGGAAACTGCTTTCCTTCAAGCAAAATCTGGTAGTGGGAAGGAGGATGTAGATGCTTTCTCATCAATGACTACTGAAAAGGTGCAAGGGCACCGTCAGTCACAGTGGGGCCCGGGTGCGGGCAGAGGCATCATTGTGGTCAGAGCTCTGCCCGGCCAGAGGCCATGGTGGCTTCTATCCATGGTGTGGCACAAGGCAGCTGTAGCCTCTGTGGTTCATCTGTGTTACTCCAAATGACACGGTTATTTTGATGGCTGAAGGGTATTCCTTTGTGTATATATATTACAGTTTCTTGATCCCTTTATCTGTGGATGGACAGGAGATAAAGGTTTTTTTTTGAATCTCCATGCCTGAGATTAAAAGGTGTGGGACTTTCTCTACCAAGCTCATATCTTTGGACCTAATGTCCTCTGGGTTTCTCCACATGGCTGTGGATGACAGGATTTCCCGAAGCTTTATGGCTGAAGCATATTCCGTAGTGTACCTGTGTGGCAGTTTCTTTATCCCTTCAGCTATGGATGGACAGGTCATTTGCCATGATGTCCTCTAGGTTCAACAGTGTGGCTGCAAATGATGTAATTTCATTATATTTTTCTGGATGAAGAGTATTCCATTTGCGTACATACACTATGGTTTCTTTATCCCTTCATCTGTGGATGAAGAGGTTTTCCCACATGACTGCAAATGATAGGATTTCATCCATTTCTGTGGTGGAAGAGTATTCCATTCTGGATATATATTTCAGTTTTTCTCATCCCTTCATCAAGGGATGGACAAGTTCAACCATGTGGCTCCAGATGATACGATTTTAGTATATGGTATGGCTGAAGAGTATTCCATTGTGAATGAATACTACAGTTTCTGTATCCCTTCATCTGTGGGGGAACAGGTCTCTCTCCACATTGCTGGAAGTGATGAGATGTTCTGAAGTTTGATGGCTGAAGAATATTCCATTGCGCAGATATCCTGGAATTTCTGCATTACTTCATCTGTGGATGGACAAGACTGATTTACATTTGGCCTGTGCCAATGGCCATGTAAAAGTGGTCACTGTTCTACTAAACTGAAAATATGAGGTTGACATTGGTGACAAACAAAACAAGATGCCTTTGATGAAGGCTGTACATTGCCAAAAAGAGACCTGTGTCATCATTCTGTTAGAACATGGCACCAATCTAGACCTTATGGATGTCTACAGCAACATTGCTCTCTACTATACTGTCTGTAATGAGACTAAGCTACTGGCAGAAAAACTCCCTTCACACCATGTGAATACTGAAGTGCTAGAACAAGGATGGAAACACACTGCTTTTACTTGTTGTAGTTTGCAAAACACAGTAAAAGGTGGAATTTTAGTGAAGAAACAGGCAAATGTATATGCTGTTGATAGGTTGAAAAGAACAGCCCTCATACCTGTTGTACATTATAGCTTGTCAGGTATAGTTAGCATTCTTCTTCAACAAAATATTTTCTTTACTCAAGAATATGTATGAACACACAGCCTATGTTTACACTATTTCTGGTGGTCTGACAAGCACTCACAACAAATTTTGCAACATTTGCAAAAAGATACTTGAAAACGGTCTTCAAATGACAATCCAGAAGAAACAACCAAGAAGAATGCAAGTTTGAAAAAAGAAGGAGCAAGTGCCAAAGATTCTGGGAGTTCTGAAGCATCTGCATTCAGTATTTTCAAAAAAATGTGTTGATTCATGCCCTAAATCAGAAGATGAAGACTTGACTTTTACTACAAAGAAGTGTATCCCTGAGTGTTTCAGAGTCTTTACTTGGACCTTCATATAAAAAAGGAAAAAATATACAATAAATGGAAAAGGAGAAGGGCCTCCTGCAAAACATCCTTCCTTGAAGCCTAACACTGAAAGATTCTGTTGTGAAGAAAGCAGTAGAAAGGAAGGATGTACAAACATCCAGAGCAGAAGAAGAAGTAAAAGTGACCTCAGAGGAAGAACAAGAAAAGCCTGAAAGTGAAAATAAATAGCCACAGGTTGAAGAAGCTAGAAAGAAGCAAATTAAAAAGATGAAAGCATCAGAAAACCTATATGATAGTACATCTACTGCTGATGATGATAAATTAATTCAACAAAGAAAGAGTGGGAAAACTTACCATCAGTGATTTCCTAAGAAGGAGAAGGGAGAATATGATAGGCCTCCAAAGAAAATGTCAAATAAAAAGGTCAAAAAGCAAACACATTTAGAGATAAACTTGATGACCGAACTTAGCCATTTGAAACAGCCTCAGAGGATCATAAGGAAACTCACCCTCATTATAAGAAGTTGATGATGCTCATTAAGCAATTTGGAATGGATTATAATGATTCTCATATCCTAATGGAAATCCAGAATGCATTTATTTCATGTGAAAAGTCACTGGAATTTAAAAAAGAGTATTGGTGAACAACTTACTCTAGACAATAAAAATATGAAAATTAAGTTTAGTGTACTAGAGAAGGAGCTATCCAACACACAAGAAATGAAATCAGAGTTAAACATCTAAAAGTGGAATGGAAACAAGAATTCTACAGTTTGAATGCACCTTAAAACAAGAAGATAAGAAGACAAGAAATGGTAATAGGTTGTATGAAAAAATTACAGAAGAGTTAGAAAGGAAAGTGGAGCAACATAGGAAAGAAGTTGAAGTAAAAGAATAGCTTGAACCGATATCAGATCACTAGAAATAGAAGTGAAGGCTTTAAGGAAAACTTCAAATAGTTGTGGAAAAAGGATCTGATGCATGAAAATTGCTTGTTGAAGAGAGAG